TAATTGTGAGAAAGAGGGGTTAGGAAAAACTTCTTTAATAGAACATGAAATTGAATTAGAGCCCAATGTCCGTCCGGTTAAACAGCACTATTTTCCCATTTCTCCCGCTAATTAAAAGATCCTTCGTAGTGAAATCGATGAAATGATCAAGTTGGGTGTGATAGAAGAATCCTCCAACAGTCCTTGGTCTAGTCCAGTAGTATTGTTTAGAAAGTCCGACAAAGTCCGTCTGTGTCTAGATTCACGGAAAATTAATAGTGTTACCGTTATGGATGCGTATCCGTTACCGCATATAGAGGGAATTCTGAGCAGGTTACCGAAAGCAGAATTCATCAGCTCCCTCGATCTTCGCCGTGCATTTTGGCAAATTCCTCTTGCCGAGAATTCGCGGGATTACACCTGCTTCACCGTCCCTAATCGTCCGTTATACCGCTATTGTGTCATGCCTTTTGGCCTCTGCAGCGCCCCACAAGCACTATGTCGCTTGATGGATGGCGTCATTCCTCCCCAACTTAAAAACCAAGTTTTTGTATACCTCGATGATCTTCTGATCGTGTCCGAAGATTTCAAAACTCATATGTCCGTTCTGACTGAAGTCGCTTTCCAATTAAGGAAAGCCGGTTTAACAATAAATGTTTCCAAAAGCAAGTTCTGCATTAAGGAATTTAAATATGTTGGCTATATTGTTGGTAATGGGACACTGCGCACAGACCCGGATAAAGTTTCGTCAGTTACCAACTATCCGGTGCCTACCAACGTGAAGCAATTGCGCAGATTCCTTGGAATGGCTGGTTGGTACCGCCGTTTTATCGACAATTTTGCTACGATAACAGCTGCCCTTTCAAACCTACTTCAGAAAAGTAAAAGCTTTGCATGGAACTCAGAAGCCCAAGAAGCGTTCGATAAGTTAAAAGATAGATTATGTTCCGCACCGGTGTTGGCAAATCCAAACTACCAAAAACCTTTTATAATACAGTGCGATGCCAGCAGGTTAGGTCTTGGCGCAGTCCTCTCACAGAAGAATGAAGATGGGGTTCAGACTCCGATTGCATATTTTTCTCAAAATATCAACAAAGCGCAAAGTAATTACTCTGTGACCGAGCTTGAATGTCTCGCTGCCATGCTCTGCTTGAAAAAGTTCCGTGCTTATATCGAAGGGCAAGAATTTAAAATTGTTACTGACCACGCTAGTCTACAA